GATTATATATAATCTGGAATAACATCAAATCTAGTTTTTACCCTAGTGACAAAGGACGGAGACGGTGACGGAAGCATGAAAAACACATTAGAGAACAAATTGATTGAATTCCTATGCTAATGCTACAGCTATAGGCGACATACTGTTTCACAACAAAGCATTTGCCATAAAAAAATTCTTTAAAATTAAAAAATCTAACGGGAACGCAAAAGACATCTTTACTAAAACGTTTCCTTGATTTGGATAACACTACTAGCCTCTAAGTAAAAATAACGAATCTATAAATGACGAACAACTTTTTTAATTAAGATCACTTAAAAGACAAGTGAGCTAAACAATTCAAAATGCATCTTAATTATTCTATCATCTCATCTTAATGATTATGCATGAATTCGAATAGAAGTACCTAATTGGTATTTACAACTTGCTTTAACTACTAATCGCTCGGTCTTATAAACGGGACCCCTTGCCTAAACTGCAGTTTAATTTTAACGCGTCGCGTTTGTGAGTATACCAAGACGGTTGCAAGTTGCATTCGCGCATGTGGGATGAGTAAGCAACGCTCTAAATCCGTTCACATACTTATTTTAAATCTCGTAAAGAGAACACGTGGTGGGTATATCGCCGGAATTGAATCGCCAGATGCATACACACATTCATATCGGTCTACAAGTGAACTAATTATACCTGGTAAACGAATCAATATAGCATTGCTTATTGAATAAATAAATCTGAAGCTGTTTTTTGATGTTACATACAGTTTGTTTATCATCATCAATTTTATCATAAGTCTTAAATTTCTTAGACGGATTAAAACTTTTTCCGAACCAACCACATCTTTCGAAATATTCAGCCAATCTGCGAACTTGTGTTTGGTACTGCCATGGTATTTTGTTTTCTATTCTTCTTTCAATGTTTGATACACAATACAGTATTGTGGTTTTAAATATGTCATCACATCAGTAAACGAAGTGGAGTAGACAAGTGTATTAATAGAACATCTTTCATCGTCAGACTCGTACCTCGCTGATTGAGGTTTGGCAGTCGACGAATCCAAAATTCGTTAGTAAATCATGTCCAACATGACAGGTGATAATATCCCGTAATGGTATCACGTTTTATGACTAGAAATACTATAAATCAAAGAACAAAAACACACGAACAACGAAAGTTTACATACACGGTTTATAGAGCTCCGAGCTCCTTCATGCAATTCGCTAAAAAAGTAACATCGCTTCAAGCTACTCAATCATCCGAAAATAGAAACTTGGGAGCAAACAAATCTGTGATTTCTCTTGCGCCATTCACTTTTTGTATATTCTAATACTGAATTTTCTTGGTTCGATCATGAATTCTGAGTACATACGCCCACTGGCTGTGATGCCTGTGAGTAAACATAAGTCAAATGGGGTCAACGCTCTGCCACCTACTTTCCCTACAGAGAATTATTATTGTCCATCTGACAGTAGAATAATCAGCGCACATATTCATGTAGTTAACTATATCAAGAGCTTGGTTCAAGGCAATGACCAAGTCGTTGATGGAGCAGTAGAAGCATTTTAAAAGTTTAGTAAACACTGGCTGGCGTTATTTTACTGTAATCGCGTTTAGTAACTCTTAGAGATTTTAGTGAATATAAGGAGTCCATTGTACCTGTTGTACCTGGGCACGTGTTATGTCCGTTCTAATAATTTTAGGTAAACAAATTATTGGGTTTTGGGCTGTTGGGCTTGCCTCTTTGACGAAATGAATAAACATGACTTATGATAAGCAAATTTATTATTATTAACCATGGATGATGACGAAAATGTTCTGGAAAATGTTCTAGTTTCATATTAATCATGTTTATTTGATTATGCAAATTGTTAGTAGTGATATGCGAATATGTAAATGGACGAGTTTAACATTTTTACATGCAAAGGCTATAAAAATATTTGCGGACTAAATAGTTCTGTCTGGAGGAAAGTCTCCTTAGCTTTCATTGCACTAAGGAAGCAGTTTCACTTCCTCGTCATTTAGATAAATAACCTAGGAAGTTATGATGGACATAGCCTCATTATGGTATAACTAATGATTCTAAAACGAAATTCGTTTTATTTTGATGGCAACCTCTTCTACGAAACATCATTAATTATTTAATTTAAAATATGTAGGTAAATACAACTATGTAGGTATATTTAGGAAGACTAATAATACATTTTAAATTTAAGAAATATAAATATTAGTGAGTAAATAGTAGCTTATATATTTTGAAGATGATGCCAATAAATAAGAAACAGGAAGTTAACTGTAAATTGAACTACTGAAGTAAAACTGAAGTAGTTTTTGAAAACTATGGGCTGCCGATGGACATTACAAGTGTGTTGCAGACTGTAACACTATTGGGGGGATTACCTCCAGTAACTTGACTCACATGACAATAGAAATTATATGAGCATTGCCAATTTCAATTTTCTGAGAATTGGGGAAAAAACTATGGTCAGACTGGCAGTTCTTTACAGAAGGCCCATCCACTTACACAGTACCCAGTAGTATAACACTTATACAGTCATTAAATTAAATATGACAACATATTTTGCTATTAAATCCATATTAATATTATATATGCTAAAGTAACTGTCTGTCTGTCTTTTCTTCACACCAAACTACTGAACCGATTTCTGAGAAAATTTGGTACAGACATAGTTTGGGACTTGAGAAAAGACACGAGGTTTTTATACCAAAAATCTGCATCTTCATAAAATGTAAAATGGTATAAAAAATCCGTAACATTGTTAGAGAAGTGTACATAAAATATGTAGTATCAAGATTTATAATGAGATGACATTGTCAGATAACAAAGGGACAATAGAAGAGATTACCTTGCAGTTATTATACAGAGAAACTATATGATAAAATGTTCATCTAACTATTCTGGATTGTAGGGGAAAGTCACAATAGGTATGTGTTGTGAAATGTATCACTACTTATTTTTACTACTACTTATGGTAAATCCTGGATGCAACTATTTATTTTTCTTGTATCTTTGTATGAAACAATTACTATATTATTATAGTGGCTTCGTCTTTACTTTGGAGGCCCATTTCAGTGAATTTACTTTGTCATCACAACAAAGAAAAGGAGAAAGCATCAAATTTGGTGCTGCTATTTAAGGGTTTTATGTAATTAGTACACATATTTATTATGAAGGTCATTGTTATTAGTTACAACTTTAGATACAAATCTCACAAGTCACAATACATAGGCACTTGCTAGGTAACATATAATGTATGGGACTGTGGTACAATAATATACTTGCACCTGCAACATAGCTTGGAAGTAACTTAGCAACTTGATTCTAATTATAATTAGATCACTAGCACTCAAATACAAAATATTGTAATTCATTAGTCTGGGAATGGCACAAATAAAACCACTTTAGGTGTAAATCAATTGAATTATCAGCTCACCATTACCAAAAAAGTTACTGGTAAATTTTATTAAAAAGGTCAGGGTTGACAAAGCAGTGATTTCAATTTTATAGCTTATAAATTTTTTGCTAAATAATAAAATAATTAATATAGGTATACTTTTTATAAGCTCGGTTTTTGCAAATCATTATGACTACTACTTTGAAACCAGTTTTGTTTCATTAAAACATTGATAGAGCTAGTACATTGACAATAATTTTAAATGTATGTTAATAAATAATAATGTTTATGATGTTGTTTTCTATGTATTTGTTATGAAGAACTGACATGGGAACAGATAAGATGACCCACACTTATCTATGTCATGTGAACTATGAACCTTAATTAAAAGGCTTTTAAACTCTAATCATTGAAAATTGCCTGTTTGTAATGTTTCTGTAAGAACACAGACTAAACATGTGCCTTACACAATCTGGTAATTTATAAAAAAAATCTATATCTTATAGTACTAAATGGATAAAAATCAACTTCTTACTAAAGCAAAAGTTGTATTTCTTATCATTTGGTTGTAGTCTACTTGATGGAATTTTTAATGTATTATTCATGTAAAATATGACAGTTTTAATAACAGAAAATTAATTAAACATTGAGTGTGAAGCAGTCTCCAACTTTAAATATATTCTAAGGTAAATAAGTTAATTAATTTAAGATAAAATAAGGTAGGTACTTACAATGAATATTGAAAGAAAATAGCCAGCAATTTAGTAGGTTTCTGTAGTGGATAACTACAGACATTAGCTTGCTTTCACACTGAGAGCAGGGGAGAAATCATGTGTGTTTACATGTATATCTACTTATTTTTACAATTTTTTCCTCCTAAACAGTAAGGATTAGCAATAAATACCTAAATTAAATATTAAAATATGAAATTCAAGTATGTAGGTAGGTTCTTATAAATGAATTATTGATATTTTTATTCACATTCCATTATATTATTATTAATGCATAGGTTTGCAGTAATTTATATTAACACACTCTGCCTTCCCCTTTAGTGTTATAGGTTACCTACGTTACATAGATTATTAGACACGAATGTAAGTTACATTTTCGTTGTTTACACGCAACATAAGGTTAGTTTGTAGGTATTCCACATTCTTTTATACTTATTTTGCAACCCAAACCTTTCTTTATATCCATGTTCTTTATGCACATTAGGAAAGTATTTTACAAGTTTGAATTCAATATGCATCGAGGAAACATCTAAAAATAATGACAAGAAAATATGTTTCGCGTTACGACAGAACCTATTACGTAGATATTTTTCATTGTTATGCGTAACAGCGATAAGATAAATTTAGGAAAATCTGGTAACAATGTACAATCATAAATGTTTTATTATCATTTTATTCTATTTAGGTCTAATAACACGTTGCAATGGTACAAGTACACACTTTAACGTGGATTAAAATAACTGTACTTTCTACAGTTAGAAGCAGAAAAACGAATAAAACGATCAACTAAACTTTCCTTTTAATGTTATTTGAACGATTAGAATACCAATTTTAATATAATTACTTCTAAGATACCTACTTTTAGTCGCGTAAGATTTCCATCTCGAGCAGCGTTGAATACGACTGTTTTGAAATCCATGATGGTTCTCTTTGCTTAGTAAAAAAATCACAAAAACTTAAAATCACTTCTGGAACAGCACTTTCCTCTGAATAAAATCATTGAAAATACACTGTCGTACGACAAAACAAAGCAACCAGTCAGATTATTTCAAAACACTTCGACACTGCAAACTCAATCGCCCTACAAACAGCTGCAGCGCGACGACGATCTGCCAAATCTGCCTAAATTGTTATTACGAAAATAACCATAGACAACGCGTCGAATCATCACAGACAAGCATTTTAATTTTAATGCAAGTATTTAGATAAGAGGTTTTTACTAACATTTTAAATAAATATTTAATTTATTTTTGATGTCATTTTTATAAATTATTATCAGACACGAGCAAGTGAAACATTAAGAAGTAAATATTAGAGACATAAAAAGTATTATGCTGTTTCGTTACTTTTTTATTTATATTATTTATTTTAAAACTTGATTTTTACATTTTTAAATATTTTCATAAAACAAAAAAAAACACTTAAAAATATAAAAAGCAGTATCCCACCGGTTACGGGAGGGTTCCAAGCAACCGGTGGTCAGGGTTCCAGAGAAAGGAATCTCCGGACAATGCGCGCCGTGTCTAGAAGTACAGCTTTCTGGATCAGATTCTTGACCCAACCATCTAACGTAAGCCTGCTTAGGTGTTTATCAAGGCTTTTAGCCATGAGACCATTGGCAGACACGACTATCGGCACAATGATTGCTGAGTCTACATCCCACATGTCGACAATCTCATGAGCTAAATCAAGATATTTACTTGCTTTATCTTTTTCAGCTTTCACAAGATTCTCGTCGTGTGGGATTGTTATATCAATTATCATTGTGCGACGGCTAGATCGATCTATCATCACAATGTCAGGTTTGTTGGCTACAATTGTCCTATCAGTGATGATAGTTCGATCCCAATACAGTGTGACATCTCCATTCTCGAGAACTGGGTCAGGCAGATACTTATAGTACGGCACTTCAGATTCAACAAGTTTGTATTTTAAAGCAAGTTGCTGGTGGATAATCCTGGCCACGAGGTTGTGTCTATGCAAGTACTCTCCATAAGCTAGGTGAGAACAACCCGAAATTATATGTCGGATGGATTCCCCTGGGCGATGACATGCCCGACAGATGTCAGCCGTACCATCCTTTATAATATATTTTCGATAATTGTTCGTCAGCATAACTTCGTCCATAATTGCACAGACAAAACCTTCTGTTTCACCAAATAAGTTACCGAAACGTAGCCAGGATACGGACGCTAAGAAGTCTACCTCTGGCCCATGTAAAGCCCTATAGTAGCGTCCGTGCAGCTCTTTGCTTTGCCATACATCCTTACGGTCCTTAGTGCTTAGTACTACAGGTTTTCTCCAATTCTCGTTAGCTAAGGAGAGCGCAGTAAGTCCTTTGTCCACAGCGACAACATCTTGGTGCATCCCCACTTCCATTTTTAAGAAGTAGTTTCGGAGACTGCACACTTCACTGTTGTGGAGGGCTTTGGCATTTAAAAAGCCTCTTCCTCCACATTTCCGTGGAATGTACAGTCTCATTACCGATGATCGTGGGTGATGCATCCGATGCTCAGTCAGCAATGAACGGACTTTTCTATCCAGGGTATCTAATTCCGTTTGAGTCCACTTGAGTATGCCAAAGGAGTACATCAGTACTGGCATGACCCAACCGTTGTAGGCACGCACCTTGTTACCGCCCGATAAAAGACTGTTTAGAACTTTCCTCAGGCGGCCAAAGAAACGTTCCCGCAACGTTTGCTTCATGACGGCAGTATCGATGCCCAACGCTTCTGACATACCCAAGTATTTATAGCTATCGGATGGCGAAAGGGACCTGAAGTTTGTGGAATCAGATATTTGCGTTCCATCCGATTCCACAATCTCCCCTCTCTTTACATGCATGACTGCACATTTGTCCACACCAAATTCCATCCCAATGGCGTTACTGAATATTTCAGTCAGATTCAGTAACCTCATTAGATGTGAATTGTTGGGGGCAAAGAGCTTTAAGTCATCCATGTAAAGTAGATGGGATACAATTTGTCCCCCTCTCCTTAACCGATATCCTAACCCTGAGCCTTCCAGCAAAGTGCTTAAAGGATTCAGGGCTAAGCAAAACCATAACGGACTCAAACTGTCACCCTGGAATATACCACGCTCTATCTTAATGGGTTCGTCACTCTCAAAGATCTGTCCACATCCTGGATAGCGAAGGACTGTTTTCCACTGATTCATACATGACCTCAAGAAGGTGCACAGAGTTACTTACTTAATCATTAGTTATTATCAAACGGTTTAAAGTTTGTTGCACAATGAAATGTCCGTAAAGTTATACAAAATGATTGCCTAGTCATTCAAACCATTGAATTCCTATTGACTCTTTGAATGAAAGGTCTGCCCAGCAAAAGTTTTAGATTCCGTTCTCATGCCCGCTAAATTTTCTAAGTAAAAGACATCATTTATTTCTTCTACTTAAATCATCCTCATGGTTTGAAGATGACTGTGATTTTTATGTCATTGTTTGGCCGCTAACTATAATTTAGTTTGTGTATCAATTATTTCCAATGTTATCTTTTTATTTTTATTTAAATTGACCGACTCTCTTTTACTTTACAGAATGATATTCTCGTCAATATCAACGAAGATTAAAGTTTATGGTCGAAGAAACGGCAATGTATGACGTACAAAAATGACGATGTATCACAAATTCGAGAATGCCATTCTTGTGATGAATGATGATGGATGACATGACAGCCGAACAAAAATTACGGCGTGGATTTATGGTTAAAAAATTTGCGAAAATCTGTTGACTGTGTCTCGAAATAGATGTTAGAATTTAATTAACAGCGTTGTTGCATGGTGATTGATAGTTAAACTTACAAGTTGTTGATGTCAATATAATGACCGATAATTCAAAAGTTTCGAGGCAAAGTTTGTGCATATCATTGTCGTTAGCGCGTAAGTCGGGCTCTCCGGTGTTTGGAGTGTTATAGCAGCGGTGGACAGTGTTAAAGGAGATGGTGTCGATGGTGATAGCAAACGGATCGAAAGAGAACTATATTTGATTGTGTATACTGGAGATATTGGAGTAGATATTTGTTAATATGTATCCAACAGCTACGCGGCACCCGGCTGCCGCGGTAAGGGTTTGTGTTGTTTTTATATTTTTAACTGCTTGTCAACATAATATAAACATATAATTCAATGAAGTTTTCTGTTCAAAAGTTGCTTATTGAAGTGGTTTCTGCTAAGGCCCTATTATTGTTTGTCTCTGTTTGTTTAGGGACCGCAGCCGCCGTCAGGACCTATCAAATTCACTATAGCAGACACACTAGAGCGTATAAAAGAGGAATTCAACTTTCTTCAAGCTCAGTACCATACGTGAGTATACATTTGCCACAACTCAAGCATTATCACTAACCTTTCCTGATTTGATCAGATTTAATATTTTCAATCCATAATCATTATCTTATCATAAGATTAACTTACAATTCATTGTTTACAGTCTGAAATTGGAATGTGAGAAACTGGCCAGTGAGAAGACGGAAATGCAGAGGCATTATGTTATGGTAATTAAATTTTATGTAGCCATTGATAAAGAAAGTTTATTTGTGAACAAATGCCAGTGTTAAATCAGAAACAAATAGTGATAGAGAAGAAACTTAGATAATAATTATTCAAATATTGACTGTTTGCTGTAGATAATAATGTAGGCTAAGCTTAGTTCTCAAATAGTTATTGAGCATGTTGTGAAATTAAGTCAATATTGGATACTTTGTCAGTGATAAGTTAGGTTAATTTATTCAAAGATGTAGATATGTTTTTGATTATTTGCAATTGGTTTTGATTAAGCTTTAATAGTTTCCCAAGTTTTGACTGAAGATACATTGCTAAACTCACTTTGTAACATGTTAAATGGTTGCTAAATGTCATTTAGCATGGAAGTGTCATTGTTTGTTAAGTTAAATTAGGTACTTACTAATGAAAATCTAAGGTTTCTTACTTAAAAGCCATGATCAACATTTAAAAAAAAATACTAATACAAAAATTTAAAGTTCTGTACATACATAATTATGTATTTAGATAATTTTCACCCAGTAATTAATTTAACTTAGGAACCTACATTATTTCCAGTGACACAAATAATCAAATCTCGCTTTTCATTAGGTTTATTTATTTTCATGAACTTATTGATTCTCAGCTATTGAATTTGTAAAAAATGAAATAATTATTGAATGGGTATTCTAAAAGATAATTTCTTTTACAGTATTATGAAATGTCATATGGTCTAAACGTGGAGATGCATAAGCAGGTAAATAATATCATATTGTCCCTTACTTAGGACTGAATGTATTTTAATTATATCTTAATTTAATGTATTTATGTTTACAGACAGAAATCGCAAAGAGATTAAGTGCAATCATAGGACAGGTGCTTCCCTTCTTAGCGCAGGAACATCAGCAACAGGTGGCCTCTGCAGTGGAAAGAGCTAAACAAGTCACCATGTCTGAACTCAACGCCATCATTGGGGTAAGTTACATTAACTGAATGAAACTAACCAACAATTTAACTAAAAAGTATATAAAAAAACCTCAAATGTAATGCTTAATAGTGTTATGAACAAAATCATTACTAGTCCATTAATTATTTTGCTTATTTATTTTATTTCGATTTCCTATAATAATGAAGGTTATTCACAGTATAAAAATATGTATTATTGTATCAATCTAATGTGCTTTCAGTTAATATATTGAATAAAGTAAAACAATGTTTTGTTTTGAAAAATATCATTTATAATAATTTTACAAAAGATAAATTTCCTCCTAGGCAACTGGTAAAGTTGTTTTTACCTTGTTATTTATAGTAATAAAAATTTAATAATAAAGTAGTACATAATTCAATTGGCAGTAGTTAATTATTACTTTTAACTTATTTTTGTATAAAACTGAACAGGTGATAAAGATGACATGAGATTCTAGGAAAGGTCCAGAGAGTACTCATACTGTCAAGTTACACATATAATTTACATGGTATTCTTGAAATGCAGGCAAAAATAATTTTATTAAAACAAATACTGCATATAAGAATGTGAATATTTGCATATTTAAGAAATGTATCTGTGTCAGTGAAGATTTTTTTGGTTTAAGATTCATAGGAAAGAAGTATGTTGATTATAGTCACTAGTTTGGTAAATGTGAGGGAATACAGTTGGTATGTCAGCGTATATATTGTAACTGTTGTCCGCAGCAACAACAACAGCAGGGTCTGCAGCAACTGCTTGTAAGTCAACATATACAGTGCTTGGTACATTGATTATATGTTGTGATTAACATTTGCATTATTTTATGTTGCCACTTTTGTTTACTTTACAAAATTACACAAAAAAATTCATGGCAGCTTTTGCATTCTCATCTCACACTCTAAACTATAAAAAACTGTTTGTTTTTAAGTTGTTTAAAGGCATTTAAAAGATTCCTTAGATTGGAGGTGGGCTAAAAAGACTTGTTTGGTTAGTCAGACTCTTCAAAACGGATAGTTATAGAATACTCCATGGTCATAATAATATAATAACAGCAGTACATAGATCTCGTTGTTCTTTTCAATTTTTTAGGATTCACATAGACGAAAGTTTGCTCAGTACTGTTTCAGGTGGGGACAACAAAATTGATAATTAAAATGATTCTGAACAGGTTCTTGGTGTGGGTCCTAGTTTATAACTGGACTTGATAAATAAAATAAAAACAAATAATTATAATCGTGAAGTAATTTGTGTCATATGTCGAGTATTTTAATATTGTATGTATTTATTTTAACTCCTTGGAATTCTTTTAACACTTGAACAACACAATTATACGTAATCATACAGTTTTTAACCAACAATGTTATAATGCCTCTACGTGTATAACTTAATCGCAATATAGGTGCCACACTGCCAAGCAAGAGAATGCACAAGCTAACATAAACGAGTGAACATTTAACATAAGTTATATCACAGTAATTGGAAAAACTAATTGGACTTCAATGTTTTATAATCACACCTTTAACTTCACGTTTTCATTCTATGCAAGCACACAAGTACCGCGTAGCTGTTGCATCTAACATGCAATTAGTGCTTTATGATGTGTACGCCATTATTTCAATACATTTAGTGTTTTTTTTCTCATTATTATCACTTAGATTTATGTATCGTCATAGTTATTGCTAGATAAATCATCACTTATTATGAAAAATGCCGGTAAATTAGTAATACAGATAACATTGTGTGGATGCTATTAGAAACATCTATTTTATAAACACTTTTTGTCCTATAAAACTGGTTTTATAAATATTTTGATAAAATTACAACCTTGAAAAGATTTAAACTTATAATTAGCGGTTTATTGTGTAATTTAGTTTGTAATAAATTAATCAATTAGCTAGCATTAATTAGTTTATTTGTAGTTATTACGGAGTGTTTTAATTAATTTCACGCTCACGCTTAATCACTAATTAATTAGAAATATACTTCCTAAATGTAAAATTATTGTATTTTACAAATAGAATAACTTTATCTTTTTGTTAACATATTTATTTTATTATTTGTGTACGATTTTCCTATTTTTTAGCGTAAAATAAATGACTTAGTTGCTAATTAGATAATCTTTGTGTAGAGATCTCAACTAAAGAAATATAGCATTCATAAATGATATTAATGATTTCGTGTTTTGTTTTGCTTATGAAATTAAATTTGTTAGCTTTTTACAATAGAATAGCCTTTTTAGTCTGCAGATGTAGTAGAAGAGATAAAATATTTTTTCCGAAGAATATTTAAATTTTCTAAAATAGAAGCACAAAAAATTCTATTCAGATATCTATTTTTTTTTTCTTCAAAAAATAGGCGTTTGTTTTGTCATCCATCACACTATACAGAGTTACAGATGCATGATAACAATAATAATGGTTCAATGAAATTGTTCTATGTGGTCCATAAACTCATAAGATGTTGGTATCATTTATATTAATCTGGTTATGTTTGTTCAACTGCATGTAATTGTTATTTTGGGTTATTTAGGAATTTTGTACTTTTAATTGCCCGTGTGCACATGATAAGTATTTTCTAAAGGAGAATATATGGCAGCCAAGTTGTTTTTTATGCAAATAAATAAAGATTGATTTAATACAGATAAACAGTAACCAGTAGTCAGCCATTAAACCGACTGATGAATACAAAAAATTGGCTTTGACAAAAGAATACTATTTAGTATAAGAATAGCTACTATCTGTATTAAATCCATCTTTATTTTCTTACCTGCATACCAAATAACTTGAAGAACTATATCATAATATGATTATTTATTAAATCTTTTTTTATGCACCAAATAAACTTGATAAACAAGCTAGGAGTTGAACATAAGCCTACGTCGTGTGCGCAAGGGCTAAATTGTTACAATGGTCAAGCAGTTGATATTACATTACATTAATCTAATCCAAGATTTTAATAGGGATGATGACTTACAATATCATCATACATATATTGCTTTTAAACGTTTGTAGATTTGTCCAAAGCGACAAAAGTCTCCAAGTAAACTTATTTTTTTTGACAATCACTTATTTTTGATTGACATAGGAATTGATCCTTATTTTCCATACGCTGTTATCATCCCTATTATGGAGTTGTAAATGTTGCAATACAATTTGTTGTTATAATGTAAATGTTTCTTGTAGCAGCAAATCCACGCCAGCGCGGGCCTGTCGCACGGGGTGGGCGGCGTCGGGGGCGCGGCCGGGCTGCTGGGCGCCGGCGGACTCTTGTTCGCGCCGGGGGGCGGGCCTCCTCCCCCGCCACATCTACCCCCGCCCGCACACAAGGTAGGAAACCTTTATTATATTCTGATACTTTACGAAATTGGTCATCGCTCGTTTATACATTTGCTCGTTTTGCCGCAATAGAGTCACAAACTTCTGTTTTATTGTAATGTTGTGTTCGTCAGGTGGAGCTACCCCCGCCGGCAGACATAAAGCCACCAGTGCTGCCGGGCGGGCCGGCGCCCCCTCCACTCTTGCCTGGCCAGCCACCGCCCAGGGATGAGGACAGGCTCAGCTCCAGGGTGCTACAACAGGTATACTATATTTTCTTCATCAAATGACTTCTCATCTTCAACATCTATACATATACACTGATTTTCGCTCTGATTAAAAGTCCATAAAGGAAGAATCAAATGTCTAAGGATTGGGTTATAAGAACAAATGAATATATAAAAGCACGTGTAAACAAAGCAAGTAGAAATATATGATTATAAGTCATATTATTTCAGCTACTTTAAAGAAACAAAATGAGAGCAAAATGTTTAAATTATGAAATAAATGTTTCAAATACTTACATGGTACGATATATCGAAGAGAAAGCATACATTTCATCTAAAGATGAAAATCAAACAAAAGTTATTGTGTGTTTTGATGTTGTTAGTGTTGATCTCTTAATCAATTACATAAATGTCTATTACCATACCATCTCTGTGCCCATTATAATTTGACTTATTTGGTGTAATTTTTGGTTTATCAACACAATATAATAATTGTTATAGCAAAGGAGATCAGTATCCCCTCACGAACGTGAGCAGAAGTACCGGCCGCGCTCGCCGGTCGAGCCGGAGGCGTTGGATGTGAAGCGAAGAAAGGAAGAGAAGGTACTCGGTCATGTGAGTCTATGTAGTGTATGTGTCGGCTTCTATTACATACACGTTGCTTTTCTCACTGTTCCTCGTCTTCCATTTAGTCGGTTGTTGCTGGGTCAAAATATTACGTTACCTATATTATTTCATATTTACCTTCCAGGTAATAATGGTGTTAGTTAGGCATTTTTCTTGTAATGTTGCGGTTTTCGCGCAGTGTTTGCGGTTTGCGATTTGTTACTGATTAAGTCATGGTTATATCGACATAAGTGCCTTAATTTGGACACTGAACATTTCTCTTTCACACTATCGGCTCCAAAATATTGTTTAATTAACGCCTCATTATTGTTAATCTAAAAATATATTTGAAGTATTAACATTTGTCAAGCACCCCGTCTTTCATCGCAGAATATATCAGTATAACCAGCAGAAACCGTCTGTTCCGACTGCTTATTTAAACAGATGCTTTGTAAGACACGTTGCTGGTAACTATGGCTAGAACAATACCCTTAAATTAATGTTGTTGCTGTTTTATTAAGCAATACAATCGTAAATGTTAGTATTAATTGTTCAATTAAATTTCTAGGACAGCGATGCTGAAAAAAGTGATCAAGATCTTGTTGTTGATGTGGCTAATGAGGTAAGATGGGTAATGAACTAACGACTTAGCATTCTTCGCACCGATCTCACGTCCTCAAGGTTGAGAATGCTATTCTGAACGTTTTCCCTGTTTTGTTTGCAGAGCATTTTGTCTATTAATAGTTGTTGTAACATTGCGCATGTCTATCTAGTATGTCTTATTGTGTTTTTATGAAATGAGTGTTGAGATTAAAATTGCAGCCTTTTTGTCAATATAATGAAATAAAAAGTATTGAGTTTAATTTAAAACAGTTTGTTAAATTATTATTATTTATCTCTATTGTTACTCCATTCACTCTCAGTATAAAGTTAATAAAATAAAACTCAGCGAATTATTAAATTCGTTTTAATTATAACAATGATTTTTTAAAACTAATGTACTGTACAAATCACACAAATAAATATATATAAAAAGCACAAAGATGAAATTACAAATAAATATATGAATTAATATTCTCAATCGTTCCAATTGGGAACTTAGTATTAAATACTACTAGCTCAATATGTATGTGCTTACAGCTTTAATATTGTTGCACTAAGTCTTGAACCATAAATACATCTCCACTTATTCCCCAGATTAATCCGGCATGGTGTTTATATGTGAAAAAGCTTTATATCGTGTTTTTTTATCTACGATATGCATTTGATACAAAATATAATGTTTTATGTTGTAATTGTGGCGTAGGAGGAAAGAGGTTCGCCGAGTGTTCGTACAGAGGGTGGGGAGAGAACGGAGAATGGTCCGCGACCTCCCTCGAGGTCTGGCTCCTCGTCAAGTCGCTCCACGCCGAAGAGTTCCAAAGACGTGAGTTGGTTGCTTTCGGATTATTTCTGTCTTGGATACCTATCGTTACATATTATTTCGTAGTGCTACTAATTTTATGTTCAAATTCGAAGAAATGGCTTCTCGGATTAATTTTCTGTCGTTGGCGATAATTTGCTACCGTTCGGGTTACTTTGACCCTGGGAGGTAACTTTGATCCAAATTTTCGAACCAATGAAAAACGAATATACGTTTGGTTCTCAGTTATTATTGGTTAAGGGATTTGGATCAAAGTAACCCAAACTTCCCGTTACTGTTTTGGTTGAATATAATACCTGATGCAATGTTATATTGAATACAGGAGAAGCCTGGCACGCCAGGCGGTAAGTTAGCTCGCGCTCCAACGCCGACGGGTGGGCGGGGCGGGGCGTACCCGTTTCCGCCGTACGCAGCGTACCGGGCGGCTGCGCCTGCGCCGCCCTTACCCATGCACTACGACTCACATCACAGGACCAATGGGATCGCACCCACTAAACCGTGAGTAGCTATACTGTGCATCATGCAGTACTTTTAATAATATGTGTAATAGTAATTGTGGCTTTTTAAAGTAATTTTAAATAGTAATTATTATGTTATTTGACGCTAGAAAAGTCGTGATTTCACAACTACACTACAATTCGTACTATAACAATTCGTAATATGCAATTGTGAAGTAAGCAAGTGTAGCGTAGAGCAATGTGTGAGACGGAGGTCGGTTGCAGCGCGTACTCGTACCACTCGTGCGGCGGGCCGCTGCAGCCGGTGGGGTTCCCGGCGGACGCGCTGGGCGGCGCGGGCGTGCCGCGCGGCGCGCGCCCCGTGGCGGCGCTGGCGCACGGCGAGGTCGTCTGCGCCGTCGCGCTCTCGCAGGCCAACGGCGCGCGCCACGCCTACACCGGCGGCAAGGGCTGCGTCAAGCTCTGGGACATCTCCAACCCCGGCTCCCCCGCCGCGCTCGAGCCGCTGTCGCAGCTCGATTGCTTGGTAAGCTACATTTTTATTAATAATGTTTCAAAATCTAGCCTTAAGTCGTTCTAAATTCAAAAACAGTCACAAACAAACCACATTTCATGTTAGAGCTTCGTACACATATGAATTCAGTATTAGCGACTTGAATCACCATAAACAATACTTATGTCGGTATCAATTAAATTTAGATTCTCCATTCATCCATTATAATATCTACACCACGTACGGTGCCAGTACAAGCAACGCCTTGTCTTGCATATGCTGAATGGTACCCGTTTCGACGCGAACTTAGGATATGCACAATCATCATATTACACAATTACCTATATTGATAAACTACATGTAACATTGTTACATGTCGCGCATTGCTTGTCTTTTAGTTTACGTAAAAAATAGTTGTTTTTCTGTCATCTCATCTCTTTCTTTTGACCACGTCTAAAAAATTTGAAAAATTGGAAAATACTAAAATGAAAACATTTGTGTTCCAGCAAAGGGACAACTACATTCGTTCAGTGAAGCTGTTACCGGACGGTCGCACGCTGATAGTGGGCGGCGAGGCGTCCAACCTGTCGATATGGGACCTCGCCTCGCCCACGCCGCGCATGCGCGCTGAGCTCACCTCCTCCGCGCCCGCATGCTATGCGCTGGCCATCAGTCCAGACTCCAAGGTAAACAAAAACACAAACACACATTTCAAGTTTGTATTTGGTCATATTTATAGGATCAATGCTAGAATATTTACAAAAGAACTTTATCCATTAAACGTGTTTCTGCAAGAAGCTTGACATTCTAGTCATTATAATATATCAAAGAAATAAATGGCTATATTTTGAAAAAGAGGTAAATTACAAGCGAACTCGAAGAGCTTGCACGAAGAAATCAATTAATGTAGAGAGAAAAGAGATTTGTTAGCAATGCTTCATTGTTATTCTATTGTCTCTGCCTGCCCCAATGGGAGATATGAAAAGTAATGTTTTCCAGAAAAAGGGGCTAGGAGGAGTCTTGTAAAACCGTTTTATAAGTCTCCCTCATAACGTAAAATAACAAGCTATAGAAAAATCAGTATCAAATTTATCTTTTACTACAATTGGTACAATTTTGTTTTGTTCTCACCTATTTTGCTAACCTTAATTTGAATATAGTAAAGGGTAGGAAGAATTAAAAATTGAAATGTTAAAAGAGATGTGTTTTAATGTTGTTGTTGTTATTGTACAGGTCTGCTTCAGCTGTTGTTCGGATGGCAACATAGCGGTGTGGGACCTTCAGAACCAAACATTAGTTAGACAATTCCAAGGTATGTCACTGCACAATAACTGCATACTAAACTTAGCTTTGCTCACTTCGCTAGCTTTTAATTTGTTGTTGTTATTTATTACCATGGGCGGCGGCGATGCTTACTATCTGGTAATCCGTCTGCTCGTTTGTCCTATAACATAATAGTACACTATGGTACATGTGTGTAAAGTTGGTGATTACCGCAAAAGCCCCGAGCCGTCAGGCGAGAGTCTTGATGAGCCGAAGACGGTATTGGTATCACTCCGGTCGAAGTTTGGCTCTCCTACGCTTAATTGAGTTTATAACAACCCGTCTTTTTTAAACTAGGCCAGTAGTCTGAAAACCATGAGCTGTTGGTGATGAGATGTTTTTTGTTGACATTGATGCTATGTAATGTACGTATGTTGCTCCGCAGGGCATACAGACGGAGCGTCGTGTATCGACATAAGCGGCGACGGGACGCGACTATGGACGGGCGGGCTGGACAACACGGTCCGCTCCTGGGACCTGCGCGAGGGACGACAGCTGCATCAACACGACTTCTCCAGCCAGATCTTCTCGCTCGGATACTGCCCCACTGGTACTGTATTCAATTATTTCTTCAATTTGTATAATATAACAACTGATGTAATAGAGATAAATAATACTTATTGAAGTAGCAGTAGTGTAGTTTTGAGATTGTTGAATATGGACTTATATGACCGTATTAGTGGATTATATACACTAGAATGTAGGTATATTCTAGTCTATACAGTCCATTCAGGACCGTAAAACCCAATAACTTGAATGTCTTTATAAGAAGGGATACATCCCTGGATGTATACCATTCAAGTCCAGTTTTGTACCCAACCAAAGTTCAGGTAATTGTCCACTCAGTTGGACAGATTGCAGTAAATAAAAAAAAGAGAAAAAAAATTTTAGTGTAGAGTCATATACATGCGTGAATGTATACAATTTAAATGATACAATAATAATCATGCTGCAAGGTTTGGATTGTTAAATAAGACAAGGACATTTCTTTCCTTTTTCTCCCACAAAGTAAAGGTCACGAAGTTCACAGTCTCGACTAAAAGATAGAGATATTTTGTTTGAGTTTCAAAGTAGTCTATTGGTGCTATTATAATAAATGATGCATGCATGGTATATTCGGCAGGGTCGTGGCTGGCGGTGGGCATGGAGAACTCTCACGTGGAGGTGTTGCACGCGGGCAAGGCGGACCGCTACCAGTTGTTGCTGCACGAGTCCTGCGTGCTCTCGCTCAAGTTCGCGGCCGCCGGCAAGTGGTTCATCTCCACCGGGAAGGACAATCTGCTCAACGCCTGGCGCACGCCCTACGGAGCTAGCATATTCCAGGTCTGCTACGATTAGCTCAGTCAAATAATTTTTTGTGTTATCTTCAATCTTTATTAATACCTACTTGATTAATACACACTAAACAATTAACTATCGGATATCCGCTCGTTAAGTACTCAGCGAAGGACTCTCCAATTTTATATCCACTGGTTGACAAACAAGGAAAAGAAAAATAATTTATTGTTATTTATATTTCAGTCCAAGGAGTCGTCATCGGTGCTCAGTTGTGATATATCGGCGGACGATAAGTACATAGTGACGGGTTCTGGTGACAAAAAGGCGACTGTCTACGAAGTGATGTACTGAAGTGTTAGTGTCAGTAATCTCATAAGTCATAGGCAATAAATGAACGTTGTTCGAGGTCCAGTGCGCAGTGAGAGCGGTTTTATATCAAACTTCAGTTGTCTGTACACATTGTTATTGTTTTAAAGTTTATCGATCCGATACGTCGGTAGTTTAAGTGGTGAAATGATTAAGAAGCTTGTACACGGAGTCAAATAAAACGAGATAAAACATATTCTCATTGTTGTATTGTCTATGATTAGTATTACTAATCAGTGTTGCACTATTATTGTCTATGTCGTCATATCACTATAAAGAGGGTGGCCGAGCAAGTGTCGGCCATTGACAATGTAACTCTGGTGCAGTGAGCTGCAGGACTGTGTAACGTATAAATAAAGTCAAGTATCCAAGATCCAAGTCTTTCAATCATATTACATGGTGTCAGAAGTGAAAAGAACAATAAGAAAAATTTATTTCACGTAAGTCGGTCACAAAAATGGACCAGTCGAGTTCCGAGCCATGCGGCGTGGGCGACCAAGATGGCGTCCAAGGTCTCAACACGAGGATGAAATCATTAAATATTTCGTCGGATTCCACAAATAATAATGCGGAAGCGTGGAAACGGTGGTCGCAGCAACTGGACCTATATCTACTCGCCACGGGTTTAGACAGGGCACCCGAGAAGAGAAAAATAGCCATACTGCTGCATCTTATAGGTGAGAAAGGCCTAAACATTTTTAATACATTTAACCTCAACATCGACAAGACCACGCTTGCCGAAGTGAAGCAGAAATTCAATAATTTTTTTGAGCCCCGGAGGAACATAACCATGTGTCGTCACATGTTCTTCACGAGGAGGCAGAAGCAATCCGAGTCCATCGAAGGATTCCTGGCAGACCTGGAAAATAAGAGCCAGGATTGTGAATTCGGAACGCTCAAGGAGTCCCTCATCAGGGATATTTTCATTGCCAATCTGCACATGGACCTGGCACATGTCCGTCAGAGATTGCTTCAGGAGCCTGATCTGACATATCAAAGGATGCGCGAACTGGCGAGAACATTAATCGTCGCACAGCAAGATGCTGAGAAAATCGTCAGTTCCAGCGAGAAACAGGAAAATGTAATGCATCTACGTCGGAGGAGCCGTAGTCGAGGAGATCGTCGACAGCGAGCTTCACCAGTCGGTCGGCAGGGTCCTGGTACGAGGCAGTCTCCCAACCCTGAAAGGCGCACGAGGCCGTGTAGCCGCTGTGGGCAGTCTCATCGATACAAGTGCCCAGCGCAGGGAGTCCAATGCAGGTCATGTAATTCATTTAATCATTTCGCTAAATTTTGCTTTAAAAATAAAAATGTAAGTCGTTTAGAGTCGTTTAATTCAAATAGTAACAGTAGTCAGGATCATTATTTCATTGGAACATTAAACAGTCATTGTCAAAGTCATATAAAGTCAAATAAAAGTAAAAAATATAGTCAATTTAATGTTAGGTCAAGTAAAAAGTCACCCAGTACACAGAAACATTGTCAATCACAGTCTAAACGGTCTCACATAGACCAATTACAGTCAAGAAATGATTCCGGTGATGATATTTATGTCATGTCTGAGAGATCTCACCGAGACTCATATTGTCAGTCTGAGAAATCAATTCTCAAGTCAAATTTAAATAATGATAGTGGTAATAATGTCATGTCTAAGAGGTCTAAAAAGCACCTCGGTGATGAAAACAGTCACCTGTCTGAGAAATATAATCTCATGTCATATGGTCACAATATAAACAAATGTTGTGATAGTCAAAGTGTGTATCTCGATGATGAGTACAGACACATGTCTGAGGAATCACCTCACACGCTCACACCACCACATCAAAGTCATCAGTCATTGAACAACATTAATACAGTTCAATCAGAACCTAACATTAACAAAAGTAAACAGTCCTGGAATATTAATTTAAAAGTAGGTAATTTAAAATTTAATTGCATCATAGATTCAGGAGCTGATTTAAACATTATGTCGAAGCAAACTTTTAATTATTTAAAACATAAGCTTAAACAGTTGTCAATTGTCAAAAGTCATATAAATGTCACAGGATTTAGTGGCAAATCAATACCCATTATGGGAAAGGTCAATATCAAATGCAATTTAATATTAAATAATAACAATGTCAGTGAGAACATAGTGTTCATAGTCGCAAATTTAGAGTGTCCCAATGTCTTAGGTCTTCCTACATGTGAAAGGTTAGGAATAATTAAAAGAGTTTTTTCAGTGTCTAAACAAAATTTTTGTCAACAAATTCTAACAAAATACAATGATGTCTTCCAGGGTCTTGGCTGTCTACCTCCTGTCTGTCACCTGAAACTCAAACCTGATGCAGTACCATGTGTGGATCCTCCCAGGAGAGTACCATTTGCGTTACTTGGAAAGCTACGCGAGGAGTTGGATCGCATGGAGAGCATGAAAGTCATAGAAAAAGTCACTAAGCCTACAGAGTGGGTGAATAGTATAGTTATAACTGTAAAAAGTTCAGGTCAGTTACGAATTTGTTTAGATCCTAGAAATTTAAATAAAAATATCATAAGGGAAATATATCCACTTAAGTCAATTGATGAGATAAGATCTCAACTAGTTGGAGCTGTCTGTTTCTCTCATTTAGATGCATTTTCGGGTTTTTGGATGTTAAAATTAGATGAATATAGTTCTAAATTATGTACTTTTCAAACACCATTTGGTAGATATAAATATTTAAGGTTACCTTTTGGAATAAATGCATCATCAGAAATATTTCAAAGAGTTATGATGAATTTGTTTGGTGATTTGGAAGGAGTCTTAATATTCATTGATGACATTCTAGTCTATGGCCCAAATGAGTCTGTACATAATGAGAGATTACATAAAGTCATGCAAAGAGCACGTCAAGTTAATTTAAAATTTAACAAATCTAAATGTAAATTTCTAGTGTCTGAAGTCTGTTTCCTAGGTTATATCTTTAGTAAAGATGGTGCAAGGGTTGACCAAGAGAAAGTTAAAGCAATTGTCAATATGCCTACACCAAAAAATGTCAAAGAATTACAAAGAATATTAGGTATGATCAATTATTTAGGTCCCTTTATTAGTAATTTGTCAGAAAAAACTCAAATTTTAAGAAATCTTTTGAAAAAGGATTCTGTCTGGTCTTGGGATGAGAATCACAATAAATGTCTTAAGGGTTTAATAGATGAAATCACAAAGTCACCTGTCTTAGCTCACTATAACCCCAACATTCCATTAGTCTTGTCAGTAGATTCGTCTAAATCAGCATTGGGAGCAGTCATTTTACAAAATAATAAACCCATTGCTTATAGTTCTAAAACTTTAACCACAACCCAGTCAAGGTATGCTCAAATAGAGAAAGAATTGCTTGCAATTCAATTTGGTTGTGAAAAATTTCACCAGTATGTATATGGTCACAGAGTTACAGTTCACACAGATCACAAACCTTTAGTCTACCTGTTTGATAAACCATTACATGATGTACCAGCTAGGTTACAGCGAATGATGTTAACTTTGCAAAAGTATGATTTGAAAGTTATACATGTCCCAGGTAAACAAATGTTCATATCTGATACTTTGTCGAGAGCAGCCTTAAAAGATCATTATATTCCAGAGAATGAGTCTGAAATAACCTGTCATGTCAATTTAATGCATTCAAATTTAGCAATTACTAAGGATTACAGTACAAAATTGTCACAACAAACTAATAAAGATGAAAGTTTGCAATTGTTAAAGAAATATTATTATGAAGGATGGCCAAAAAGTAAAAACAAAGTTAGTCAATTAGTGAAACCATATTGGAATGTACAAGCTGAAATACATGTAGTTAAGGATTTGTTATTTAAAGGATCAAAATTAATAGTACCACAGTCTATGTATAAAGAAATGTTGGATAAAATTCATGAAGGTCACCAAGGAATAAATAAATGTCTTAAATTAGCTAGAGATTCTTTATATTGGCCAAACATGTCAGTTGATATTAAAAATTTAGTAGAACAATGTCTTATATGTGCAAAATTTAAACCTGCTAACCAAAAAGAGCCATTACAAAATTTTGAAATTAACAAATATCCATGGCAACAAGTTGGTATTGATTTAATGTACTTTGATGGTCTTTCTTATTTAATTGTTACAGATTACTATTCTAAATACATAGAAATAGCTTTGTTAAATAAGAATAGTACAGCCAAAAATGTAATTACACATTTAAAGTCGATTTTTGCCCGTCATGGTATGCCTTTGTCATTAGTGTCTGACGGTGGACCTCCTTTCCAATCTTTAGAATTTAAAAATTTCTTACATGAATGGGACATAGAACATGTAGTTACTAGTCCATATCATGCACAGTCTAATGGTCAAGCTGAAAGTTCAGTTAAAATTGTCAAAAATATGTTGAAAAAATGTAAAGAAAATTCGTCTGATCCTTATATAGCTTTGTTGCAATATAGAAACACACCTAAGAATAATTTACCGTCCCCAGCTCAACTCTTAATGTCTAGGAATTTAAGAGACAATGTCCCTAAGTCGTATAAGAAATTAAAACCAAAGGTAGTAACATTTAAAGATTACAAAGAATGTGTAACTAAGAATAATGATTGTAAGTCTAAATATTATAATACAAGTGCTAAGCCTTTACCATTGTTATATCCCAATGATCATGTCTACTTCAAAAGACAACCTAGTTGTAATTGGGAACAGGCTATTGTCAAGCAAAGGCTAGCAAATAATAGGTCATATGTCGTTGAGGATGTCAATGGAGTTAGGTATAGGAGAAATAGGATTCACTTAAGGCATAAGTTCTCTCCTATGCTATCCAACTCATCGTCGTCGTCGTCTTTGTCATCGCAAGGGAGAGAGGATGGTGACAGTCAGAAGGCTGGACCTCAAGAACTCTCATCTCGATCCTCAAGTAGTCAATTTGTTACACGTTCAGGTCGTATTGTAAAGCCCACAAGAAGGCTAATAGAAGAAATAGATTAAGTATATTTTGTAATCTTATATGTTGTAAATTAAGTACCTAGTCAAGTTATACTATAAGTCGTTTATAATATTGTCAAGTTGTCATAGTGTTAAGTCTGTTTTGTAAAGGGTTAATTTAAACTTAACAAGGGGGATGTTGTATTGTCTATGATTAGTATTACTAATCAGTGTTGCACTATTATTGTCTATGTCGTCATATCACTATAAAGAGGGTGGCCGAGCAAGTGTCGGCCATTGACAATGTAACTCTGGTGCAGTGAGCTGCAGGACTGTGTAACGTATAAATAAAGTCAAGTATCCAAGATCCAAGTCTTTCAATCATATTACACTCATAAACAAGAATATGTTTAATATGATGTATCTTTGTATAGGAACCTCTTGGTGTAATGTAAGATTTTGTATTATTATGGTTAGAAGTGAAAAATGTCTGAGTAAGCTTGTGATTCAGGCGATATTAACAGTCTAGTATAATAGTTAAACATCAGTCAGACTGCTGTCGTGAGTTCCTTGCTAAATTGTACCCTTAAATGGTATTCTTTTTAAGAAATTCCTCTTTGGTGAAATGTGTCCTTGTATTTAAATTTTATTGTAGTCATAGTAAGAAAGCAATAAAGGCTGTTTTTTATAACTAACATACACATAAACATCCCTTTCGATCTCAAAATTATTTGGTATTAATATAGTATTGTAAACAGCAAAATTATTAGTAAGTATTAAATTCAGCAATATGAAGACTTCCAGCATTTTTGAGTATTGTAACTAACAATGTGTACAGCTAACTAAGTACGGTTGAATTAAGTGTAATTTTAAAGTAACAAATAGATCAATGTTGCACCGTTAAACATGGATATTTTTAGTGTTATTATATATTTTTATAATGAAATAAGAAAATAATTTTATTAATTTTCCAAGTTGAAACTTGTTTCGTGAATGGTCCATTTATTACGAGTATTTATTTCATTATTCTGACTTTAAGTTGTTTCAGACTGATATTCTGAGTAATTGACGAGTTGGTTATATTATTATGCATATTGAGTAAATTTTTATTATTCCTTTGTTTATTTGACGACTATCGTCAAGTTACGCACACTTTCGCTTTGCATTTTATCTCTATGTGGGGCCAATGTTGGCCCCAATCGTGTTCCTAATGTATGATAGTTAAGGGCGTCAACTCGTTTTGAGTACGAACAATGTACAAATATGATGGCCCTAACATTGGCTCCAAAATGGAGTGTTTGTGTATAAATAAAAGATAGTGCCTGTTCAAACATTTCATATTGAGTAGAAAAACGTGCTTTACACTTCTAGGTGAACAAGTTTTTAATCAAGATGAAGTTTCTTCAATAAGTATTGTTGAGATTTTTAACACGTGGTGGGAAATGAAGAGCGGTTTTCGGAAGTATTTTTTATATGTTTCAACTAAAATTAGTTGGATGAGTTCATTAGGAGAGGACATTATTTTCCTTGTTTAATTCACTCTAAAAGTGGACTGGGAAATGGGAAAATTATGCTATATTTCAGAGTTCAGACTGTTTATAAAAAAAGTTATTTCCATCAAAATTCTTGCAATAATGGATTAAATAGTTTGTTTTCTATAATCTGACTGAAATTTTTATATCAAAGTATATTTTTATTGTACTTAAAAGTTTATACAAATTGAATCTTTAAATATGAATTTCATTAAAATAATGATCTGCGAATTGTGATATTATTTCTTCAATGACTTAAGTGTACCGAGTATGCGTCATCAGATTAACTACAAACATCTAATTGTTATTTTACTGCAAAATTGAATCGTATTATGTACTTTGATTATATTTATTATTTCGATACGCAAGTGTTTTATTTTCCATTTTGACTGCTCAACAAACTTCAGCGTTAAGCCTTTATATGCTTTGGGGATAAGTAGAAGTTACAAATGAATTGCATCACTTTGAACTTCACCAGCAGTTACCAGTTATAATAATGTACTCTGTATTCACCAGTTATGTACTACTAATGAGTTCTATCCAAGCATGTAAGTGTGAAAAGCCTTTTGCCACCGGACAACATTCGAGGTAACATTATACTGAAAAAAGTAATTTTCTGTCCGAAGCATTGGCGTCCATAGAGACTAAATATTGAATAGACATAATTATATATAATTATTTATTATTTAAAGTTCTTGGTAAAAACCAATAACAGGAGCATCGATCACTAATAATTCTTTATTAGTGATCGATGAACAGGAGTGAGAAAATCTTAGAGAAAGGAATGTAATTTTTTAAGAGGGTTGCAAACACGGAACTGATACTGTTTTTTCTGTTCCGTGGGTGCAAATTTATCACAATGTTCTGCCACTCTGGGTGCAACGAGAGGAATTGTCAGACTCTTACTGACTAAAAACTCCAACGGTTATACTTCTGTTTCTCTCTCTCTTTCACTTGCAGTCGCAACACTGGCCGTACATCGGCCCCATCGTTCAGATAACGCTCCGGATTCATAACTAGCATGACTGCTTGGCACTTTGACTCTAGCTTTGCACCATGGCTTAGACCAAGGCCAGACGCAAGAGGTTGCCACCACTAGATTACTTCACTGAGGGCACAGCAGTGCTCGGCCCAAGCAGGACACTCGACCGCCGTATGCTCCACCGAGTCATCTGGGTGGTGCTTGCAGGGACGAAACTCAAGCGTTTCTTCCCGCTGAATCCGAAAGAGGTACCTCCTAACACTACTGTTCCCGGAATGCACCTTCGTTTGATGGAAGGTGAGGAATTGAGGATACCATGTCGTCCTTTGTGCTGAAGCCCGTGGGGTCTTCACAGGTATTTTTTTTAATATAGCAATTGTGTTGGTCAAAAGTATAGTAACTTTAACATTTCTCTTATAAAAAAAGATTGAAAAAAAAAACTTTGACACTTGACAGAATTGACATTGATAGCCGATGTGTTGGCATTTTGGCAGCCAAAATAATCTCTTATTTGTTTACATTTTTCTGAAATAGAAAAGTAAATAAGCGTAAAGGACCTAAAATAGCGGACTGTGTTTATGAAAGCGATATCGTTATGTGAAATAATTAAAAACTTATTGTTAATAGACGCCGATTATTAAGCTAACAAAATGTCTCAACCTAACCTACTGGACATAGTTCCTGATCAATTATTTCAAGCTCATTATATTAGTGATATAGACCAGGTACAAAAGAAATTACAATATGAAATTGAAAGGAAGCGAGAGGAATTGCGGGCCATGGTTGGGTAAGTCTAATCAATGAACATAAATAATGTGTGTCAAATTGTGCTTGTTTCTGTTGTTCTCACTCTGCTCAGTAAGTTTTAAGCCCCAAGAGAAGCCTAAAAGGAAGGTAATATAATCTTAGTTTGTCTTAAGAGTTACCTAGTTACTATTTAATAAAAAAAATTGCAACTTTCATATACATTGATCATAAAGGGTTGTCATCAATATCTCATAGAAAACCTTCAATCATTTCAGAGAAAGATACAGAGACTTGATTCACGCTGCCGATACAATTGAAGAGATGAAAGAAACAACTGGTAGTACTCTAAACCATATAACAGAAATGATGCAGGCCTGCAAAAACTTACAGAGCACACATTTAGGTGGATTTAAAGTTGATGATAAACTTTCAAGAACACAAAAGTAAGTAGTATCCCCACATCATTCATTAGACTATTTATAATTAACAAACAAAAAAAGCTATTCCATAAATATTTAAACCTTACATAACTACTTGGTAAAAATGTAATTTATTATTTTGTGAAATACTGGTAAATGCAAATTGTCTGATCCATTTCCTTATAGTTTTCAGTTCAATGTGAACCCAATGCACAGTTTGTCTGTACAAGTGAAACTGTTGATGGAAATCCCCGAGAAGATTTGGACTAGTATTGAATCTGAGGACTATGTGAAAGCTACACAGCTGTTCATTATGGCAAGGCACATTAATACAGGTATTGTTTTTTACAAAATGTAATATGTAAATTTAGAGAACCAGTGGGAGCAATGACTGATATTAATTTAAATTTTAGACTTATTATAAGTTATTACAAAAAAGTAGATAAGATGGAATATGTGACAAAGTGTTAGTGCAAGGTCAATTCATTGTTTATGCCTTATACTTTAGCAGTACTTCATTGTAAAGGAGCTGGAATTAAACTGAAATGAAGCGATTAATTTTAGTATCTTCATAACAAAGCAAACCTTTTTTATTCATTATGTAAAATTTTTACAACCCATGGCTTTGCACTTATTACTCACATCTCTGTGGAATTCTATCTTAAAAATAAGTGTTGGGCCATAAATATTTAAATTTTGCCTTAAAAAAAAAATTGATTTTTTTTGTTTTAATTTATTTGTTTCAGGATTTTGTATAGTGGTAATGACAAGTATAGAATTTAAAAGTGATTTTTTTGTCAGGTCTACAACTCCAAATAGGAGGCAAAAATGTGAAGCCTGGTATGCAGTCCCTACAGAGACTGGTGCAGCAACAGTGGAATTCCATAGCAAATTTTAATCAAACCATTATAGACGAGTGCCGGCAGAAGTTACAGGATGTTGACATCAGTGTAGAGGTATAAAATGATTTTGCTATCCAGTTATATATCGGGCAACAAGTTGAATTATCGCTGGCAACACTGGAGGGGAGGGATGGAGGGTGATTGGGTGATTGTAAATAAAACATGCTGTTTCAAACTGGTTTTCTGTAAGGCCATGAAGTTACGCTAGTAAAAGCACAGCTCTGCCACATGAATTTTTTTAATCCTCTTTACATTGATAATAATATCATTATTTTATTCCACCATTCTAGGTAGCCTGTTCTTGCCTGGTTAGCTTATACTTACTGGACTCTCAATCAATGGTGGAGCTGCTGAACACTCTAATAGGCCTTCATAGTAACAGTAGCCTGAAATCCACGCTACAATTTGACCTATCACAAATTTTAGAGGGAGATGTTAAAGCACAGATTAAAGATAAGATTGTAAATGGTGTGAAAATTGTTTTGAAAACTGTTGTGCTAGTGTATTCTTGTTTTGTTGGTAAGTTGAATCTGTCTTGTGAAAAATACTTAGCTACCGGTTAGTTCAAAAGGTTTTTGAATCATAACAATGAGGTTCACTTGTGCGCAATACTAATAATAATTATATTTGATTTCTGTACTTACTTAGTTATTCTGATTATACTTACTTATTCTGAAATCCACAATTTGACATGTAAGTCTTATAATATACAAACATCTACATGGACAAGTATTTAATTCACAACAATTGGGCAATTATTGTAATAAATTAAACATCATGTTCATACCCCTAGGTTATTTTTAAATCTTGTATATCCAAATACACACAACTTTTGAATTGAGAATATAGTTCAGGGTACTGTTGAGAATGTTTGAAGAAGAAATACTTCACAACAAGAATTAAGTAAAAAAAAAACTAAAAACGCATTGATGGATCTAAAAATCTAACCCAGCTTTGCTTAATGACTGTACTAATAGTCAGACTAACAAATGAGACAAATTTTATTAATCTTATACATATTTGTATTTATTTACAGATAATGATGGTGGTGCTGTGCTAGCGAAGTTGCAAGATTTGTTCAGAAGAGATTCGCAACCATTAATAGAATTGGTCAAATTTAGTGACCCGGCCTCCATAAAACTATTGCCACCTGCAATTTGTAACTACAGGTACTTTTTTAATACTTTATACGATATTTTTTTTGGTACAATACCGCCAATACCTCTCGGACCTGCTTCAACTCAATTAGCCGGTATCTACAGCAGATACAATCATGAAAACACGTAAACATTGAAATTGAATGGAATGGAGGTAACTAATGTGATAGAATGACTTGTGACCTGTTACAAGAAATAATCATCATTAAATATTGAAGAAAATTGGATTTTAAAAAAGCTGCTTGTAAATGACCTATATCAGCATTTAAAACCAAATAAATATTATTATTAAAACTTGAGAGACCACAGATATATACATAATAGTTAGTAAGAATACATGGGGACTTTTCCTTGTCAAATAAGGGAAGTTTTTGCTTGCAAGTGAAGCCACGTGCTTAAGCTAGCATAAAACAGAAATAAATGATGAAGCAGTAGCATACAATATATATAGGCATAACCAATGAGTTTATTTTGCCTTTCGTATAAATAATAACTGTGTGGAGCACCACAAATAAGGCCGAATAGGGCCGATGTTCAGCTGGAATTGCGGGTGCAAGCGCAATAAGATATGGCCCTGGCCCGAAGCAGAAGAAAGAACGGGGTGGTTTTTAGTCAGTAACAATCTGACAGTCCCTGTCACTCCACCCAGAGTTTTTCTTTGGTAGGGGATGACTTCTTCCGCCCAGGGCCAGGTGGGAGGGGGTGTTAGACTCTTACTGACTAAAAACCCCTTTGTTTCTTCTCCTGCTCTGTGCCGAGGTCGCGGTGCCTCATTGCGCTTACCCCACAACCCCGGCTGAACATCAGCCCTATAGGGCCCCGACTCCACCCAGGTTAGTTAAGCCTTTATTAATTTACGTACATAGGTTAGTACGGCCTAACTGTCCATATATAGACTGCATTGTATTAACAATTTATTCCGATGATACCAGGCTCTCATCAAATAAAGAAGTGCAACCTCTAGCCAAGGAGGAGATAAAGAAAGGCATTCAGGATTGGAATGTTTGGGTAAAGTCCTTCATAGAGAGCAACGTGCAGACCTTGCTGCAGAATATCACACGAGTCAAGGCGTTACATGAGATCAGAGAGGAGGCATTCAAGATTGGTGAGTTTTATAAATTTGATCTGAACAATCTAGGTATTCTAAGTATCTAAATTACTTAGTGCCTGCCTCTTCAAAACGTCTGTATAGCCAATATGCAATGGTATTTGTATGGACTCTCTATATACATAAGTTGGTCGGGTATTATGTGTGTGAAGAGGAGGCGGTGAAATATTGTATGTGCCTATTTCTTTACTAAAGGACTTTTTGATTCAACTAAACATTAAAAAAGATTATCGAAAGTTGTAAAGGAGCATTGATCATTGTCCTGTCCCTGTAATAATTTTGTGAAACTATTTACTTTCATAGTAGATAGACTGTAAAAGACAGATAAATGGGTTTTCACCGCCAGCTGTTTTGATTGTGGATTATTGGTCATTCGATCATCAGATAGATAACAGAAGAGTCCTTATATGTATGAAAAACCTGGACTTTTATAAGTCTTTGCTTATAACCAATCGGTGCATGCAAATGCATCAAATTAATGCACATTTCTTCTACGTGTAAAAAGACACATTTGCCCAGTAGTGGAACGATGATGTACTAATCAATTTTTTTACTATTATTTTGACAGAGACTCCGGCTAACTGGTCCACAATATGCACATCTTTGGATATACCAGAAGTCCACGTGTGGTGTCACTACTACCAGCCCCTGTTGACCTCTCGCGTCAAGTCAATTATAGACGGGCGGTGGGTCAAGGTATACGACGCTTTCAAGACACAACTCCTGATAGACCTTACGAAGGTATCTTCAGACAGTGAGGCAGAGAAGGAGGCTGATATCAACTGGTTCGTGTGGAAAGACCTCATTGGGGAGACGGTAATAGAATCCAGAGCTGATGTTATTAAAGTCATGAATTCCCTGATGAAAGGTGAGTTTTTAATACTCGTTAGGTACCTATTAGTTTTCCGGCATTTTTGTTCTATGGGATAGGGTGGCAAACGGCCTGATGGATCACCTATATTCGGCGCCACCCATGGATGGATGGATGGATGGACTCTTTGGGTCTCTTGGGGATTTAGCGTTCTCACACAGTAAAACACAACATTGTGATTTGCAACGCCAGTTTGCTGTGGTCGTGGTATCATTTCGATCGAGTCGATCCATTCGTATCGAAACCTGACTGAATAATAGAGTCAGCATGGAGGAGGCACTTCCTTTGTTTCCTAAATTACAATTTATTCGGTAATTGTAAGTAGGTAAAAAATTCCGTATGTGTATCTTATTATATCATTTGTTAACTTAAACCTTTTCATTGTTTATGTTAGATTTACGTCGATATGATTGCGGTTTAATATTTCAAAATTTAATTAATGTACCTACTAACAAATCTCAGCACATAATTCATAATCATTCCTTCTATAGTCCGTTCCATAATTAGAGACAACGATTTGACATTTCGAGTGTTGCATGTTTTTTCCATTTCATAAATAGTGAAGTCCCGCGACCGGTATTGACCGAAAGACCGAAATTAAATTCTGGACTTCGTGCATTTTAAAAGCTTTATTATTTTAAGCTACTTTCCCTGGTACCTTCCTTTGCCAATACTTAATCAGTCAGGTTAAAATCACAATGGTAAGGAGGCAACCGTAAAATAGTGACCCACCTTTTAGCAGCCATCAGTCCACGACGTATCGTTCATAATTACTCTTCTATTTCCGGGAAATCTCCAACAGTTCGGCTTTCAGCATAGGTTCCTCAAATATAACGTTTTTCTTTTAGCCAGTCTTGGATTTGGCATTTTTATTTTAAATTATTATTACTAATTCCACTAAACTATAAAAACATAACCGCAACGTTGTTTTATTTTGCTCAGGGTATTTTATAAAAAACCGGTATCGGTATTTTATTTAAAACATCGTACTCGGGTCCATCACTATGATAAAAATTCTGGCCACATTATTTTGTAGTTTGACATTTGCTGTTGTCAAATTGTTGTCTCTAATTATGGAACGAACTATAGCAACTATTATAAGATTACCATTGAAATAAGACATAACTAAAACAGCTGCTTAGCACGGGGATAAAACCCTTTTAGTTATACGTATATAGAGTATACACGTACTCCAACACGCCACCAGTGAATCATCCTGGGTGTTAAGAAATAGTGGCTGAAGAACCAAAGAAAAATGAATAAAATAGGCACTTTTCCCTAATTTGTCCTACTTAAATTTCCTTATAACAAGATAGAGACATTTTGCAATAAATTTTAATAACTCAAACCGGGGTTTCATTGCACATCAACTGACTATGGAGTGTGATGTGATGCCTAAATGACTAATCAAAATTGGACTATTGACTTTGCAAGGTTTTGTGGGTATTTTCCTGTTGTAAATCGTGATTCACATTATGATAATATGTCTCGACCAAACAACAAGCCATATCTCGTATTTTAGAATCTAGATAACGTATCATAATGTCTAATTGTTCCTAATTACTGTGTGTTGTGTAGGACCTTTTTGCGCAATGTCCAGTCGCGAAGTAAATTTTTTACTACATTTTCTCTCAGCACGAATCAGATTGATCGGAGTGATACCACAGCCTCACAGAATCCACGGCGCTGTTATTGTACATGTAAATTAGGTTACCGGAGTTCTATCCTTCTCTAACCCCTTCCCTCCTTGATCCTAAATCTCTGAAACCCAAATCTGAAACCTAAAGGCCAGAAACGCACTTATAACTCCTCTAGTAGTGGTCATGGGCGTTTGCTCGTCACACGGTATTTGGCGTCTCACATAAAAAAATGATGTCAAAAGTCATGAGTCTAAATAAATGTATTTCAATAAGACTATAACAGGCACTTATGAGCGTTAAACAAAATAATATTAAAGATAAAAAAGGCAGTCTATCAGTCAGTCCGTTAAGCTTTATTTGCGTTGGGTACTTTTTTGAACTGTATGATGTTCAGGATCAGATCCTCACCACCGTCTTCTACATTTCAAACAAATATAAAGAGAAAATACGTTTATTTGTTAGTTTAGGCGTAAACGATAAATAATCTTATATCTAAATAGGCTATTCAGGCTTTAGATCTTATGTTGGTGATTAAACTTACGTGTATCTATGGAATGCGGTTGTTTTGTGACGCATCAATAATGAAACGAAAAGTCCAGATTGTTTTGCTAATTACCTACACATGCATTCTATTTTTTTTTGCTTTGTCATAATATTAATAGGTCCATTAAAATATGTACCGAAGAATGCAACATAACATTTAAAAAAATATGTGATAGGGCAAACGAGCTGTCGGTCACCTGATAGTAAGCAATTTGCACACCGATTTAAGGCTCAGAAATCTTTGGACTGGGGATGGGGGGAGGGGGAGGATTGGATTTCTGTTAAAATCATTTTCATGGCGAAACACAAAGCAAACTTATTCCAGGCCGGTTTTCTGTAAGGCGTTAATCTCGGAACACTAGTGATATAAAAGCTCTACAAGTTTAAAAAAGAAATGATAAACTAATTTGTTTAATTAGACCAAACAGGCGTATCTATGTTATTACATGTTTGCTGTTTAGGTGGAACATTAATTAGTGTACATATGTGCCTATTACATGTGGCACTTGGTGTAATATTTACTGAACAAACAGGTGATAACCAGTAATAATTTCTCAGAAATTGATAAATTCCTTGACGCAGCTACAGGTAAGCTGCGCAAGCGACACTGATCGATTACGACATTCAACTTTATCTTGTCTATGATACGTGTAACACCAGTAGTCTAGTTTTATTTGTCAAATATTTATCAAAATATGTTCTACATATTGTAAAGAGCTCTTGATTGTGAGAAGGTTTCTCAGAATTGAGAATTATCGTTAGATTGCTTAGTTTTATATTATTTATGAATTGATATAATGTTTGAGAAGGTGTGCGTGCTCAGGTACGCGTACTTTTGTCACGTGCGACACACAGTCGTGGGTAGCTCTGTTCATATATGGTTTTTGCAACCATGACCTCCGTTTGGACTAATTTCATGGCAATGATTTTTAAGCTATTCCGAGAATCCGTATTAAAGAGCTTTGGATTTTACTAAGGACAAGGTGTGGGCTTATCTGAGAGATAATCGAGGACGCCAATAACTTGATGACGTTAAGGCATTTTTGCATATAAGTAAAAACCTTGCTAAATCCAGTTCAATGACATAATTAAAGTAACGAGGAGAAGGTCACGAACAAGCCTTGTCCTTAGCAGCACTGAAGGGAAATTTCCAGTTCCAAGAAAAAACCTTTAGACCTTTGTAATAGTTATCGTTATCAATGATTATAATATATGGTAATTATTTATCATTTATTTTGATGTAAACCTTAAGATAATATATTAAAGATCGTATCTCAAGCGTATCGATCCTGTTAAATCGAATCAATGGATAAGGAGAGCGCCATTCATCATGACAACATCTCTGATCGGCGCTATTAATATAGCTTAGGTTTTATCTCAGCTGATATTGATCTGGAATCGATTATTGTTCTGGAATGTCTATATCCAGAATATCTATCGTGTTGTCTGTTTACTCGAATTTTAGGAGTTTATTTATATCGTAATGCAAATCATAATTTTAGTAATTCACTTTTGAAGTTCTTTTTTACATATTTTATCTTAGGTTGTTAGTATTAACCGTATAAAGATGAGGTATTTTTTATGGTATTTAATAATGCAATGATATTTTCTTTTTGTGACATATGCATCTTTTAGGTTCTAGATGTTTGGATACCTTTCTAACTTCTGAAGTGCAGCTTTTTTGACATATTTTTTTTTGTACAAGCTTTATAATTTGAAACAGACTGTTTTTTAAAAGGACTTGAACTGAATATACGAATCATTTTAGTACCTAATTACAGAGCGGCTCGGAATCTGAAGAAACAGTACAATTAAAGTTGTACAAGCAACCTTACAACTCGTATCATAATATTTATAATAAGCTTATCGCTATTAATTTAGGAGTTTTACGCAGTAACATATGCATACCTATGCATGAAATGGCAAGGCCATATATGTATTTTTAATGATGATATTTTAGGTAATCTGCTACATATTTTGATATAATGTGGCATTTGTTTGCAATATTTTTTAGACTTGATGTATAATGACTAAATAGAGACTAGTGAATATTATCTATAGTCGTGTGGTGCAGATTCAATGCGCCTTTTGTTCATTATTTCGTCAATTTACAAAAAAAAAAACCTTTAAACCCAACAACTAACTTAAGTTTTTTCCCCAAAATGGTAAACATATACACAGATATGTATTTATAGTCATTCTTTTTACTTTAGCTTTTCTCTTTGTAGATAATCAAATTCGAATTCTATAATGATGGCATTGACTAAAATTATTTTCAATAGGTATGGCTCGTCAAGACCGCGGTTACACTCCGACATTGGAAAAACTATGCCAAAGTTTGGACGATGAGTTACAGAAACTTCTGGAAGACTTGAGGGTATACCTATATCAAGATAAGAAGAGTGTCGGCAACAAAGATAAGCTCCTGTTTGCGTATGAGGACGACGATGATATTGATCAAATCTACAGCGATAAACATCTGATCGAGATGTATTTGAGAGATGTTTCCGATAGCAATATACAGAGGTAGGTCTTTGACTCCACGTGTAATTAAATTTTACGAGACTTAATAATGACATACCATCATGTATGTTCACTAGCGGCTCGCCCCTGCTTTGCACGAGTGCAATGCCGATACTAAATTTCTACACTATGGTTGTTATTATACATATGAACCTTTCTCTTCAATCACTCTCGATTAACAAACCGCACCAAAATCCGTTGCGTACTTTTAAATATTTAAGCGTATGCACATAGGGATATAGGGACAGAGAAAGCGACTTTGCTTTATACTATGTAGTGATAATTTGGCCCATGATTGTATGGTAATGTTGAACATAAGCCTTTCCAGATAAACTTTATATGATATTTTCTCAACAGTATGCTCCAATACATAAAAGCTTGCTTCGAAGAACCAACCTTGCAATCAAATGAACTGCAAAACAAGACAACTGCAATATATACTGCGCGTTTCACACAAGCGATATCAGCCCTTATGCCTCATTTACGCAAGTGCTACATTCCGGAGGAACGAGATAGTTTAGGGGTGATCAATATGGACGATAATGCTTTAAAGAGGTGGAATGACTTATGTGTGGTATTGAAGGAACATTGCCAGTACTGTTGGGGTAAGTGGGTGGATATTGTGATCACCAAGGTGGAAGACTTGACCAAAGATCTACCGCAAGCATTTACTTTGGAGGCTAATATTGACTATTTAATGATGGTAAGTTTTAAACGATTGTCTAAATGATTTGTGTAATTTGATAAAATGTACTTTATATAAATATTGTACCTACAGCAATGGGATGTGATTAAAATAGAAGAGAAAGATGAAGAAGGGAATCCGATAGAGTCTACAATAAAAGTACCCGCCGGCCCGTCACTCAAACTCCAGGAATATTTGTACGCTACAAGTCGGATACTTGACGAAGTCGTCCCACACACACTACCAATAGAAACACATACGTTATTCATTGAGAAAGTTATAGCTATCACTTTCAATCACTATGAGAAAGTTATAAGAAAGAATGAGGCAGATATAAATCAAAGATGTGCGCTTCAACTGCTGATGGATGTAAGGCATTTGACGTTGTTGTTGGTTCCTCGAGAGAACAAGATGTTTACGGAGCAGTCGGTCAGAATCTGCGAGTTTTTGAGACAAAAGATTGATCCGTTTGACTACGATGTCTTCTATAAATACATACAGACTAGCTTGAAGAGATCTGTGCAACGAGTTCAGGTTAGTTGATAGATTTTCTTGTACCACCCGACTATGGAAAGGAGATTTATAACGATATTTTAAGTTACACACACTCACACAAAATCAAAAAGTATAGATGAATATATTCAACATCATCATTAGCCAGTAAAGGTACTGTACAGCTAAACATAGTCTTCTTTTTACGCAGACAAAGCATTATTAATTTTATTACTACTTGTGCTGCTCAAGACAGATTGGCGATTCCAAACTTTCGAATGATGTTATGTGTCTAGTAGGTGGTGCAACTAACTATCTCTATAGCTAGTGTAACTATCGTGAGACATAGGTACTAAATTAATTAAAAATAACGACTTCCTTTCGTGAATTAACTGAAATAAGTGCAACTAGTTTCAATTCACAACCGGACTATTTATGAGCAGCGTGCAACGTTGCTCCCGCACTTGTATAACTTTAAAATAGAAAATCTTTTCTCAGTTAATTTATATAAGTCATTATTTTCAATAAACTTAAAACAAACTCACACTAGGTAATCAGGTTTTCACATGACCACGATGACAATTTATTTTCTCCAGAACTTCTAAAACGTAATTAACTGTTTACAGACTTTACTAGGCAGTCTAATATTGCACCACGGGCAGCTGACAGCGTTTATTGGGACGAAGCCCGTACTGTCGGGCGGTACGGCAGACAAGGCGGCCGCACTCCTGGCCTCGGGTGATTCCAACTGGTTCTCATTGCTACCTGTAGCAGCACCACCGAGCCACCTCAAGAAACAGGATAAACCTGTAAGTATTACTAAGATAGAACATTATAAGGCAATAAGGATTTTCTCATCTTTTCAGTCTTCCAGGCGATTTCGGAAACTATCTCTGTCTCTGTCTGTTGATGCTTCTATAAGAAGGACATGGCCAACTTTTGTATGGGCGTTTGCATAGTTATTGAATTCAATGTACATCAATGATTTTTGGTGTTTACATTCGTGAATATTATTAAATTAAATTGCAAAAAATAAAACACATGAAGAACTCGTAATTATAACAAACAAGACGAAAATAGTTTCACTAAACCTTTAGTCAGATTATTGGCCATAAGTGCACGAAATAAGATTTTGCTTTTATAAACCACGGCGTTTTAATTATTTATTTATTTATTTATAAAATAAAACAAAAGAATATGTATAAAGAATAATTATTTATTTATTAAGGAGAACAAATAAAATAAAACTACGTAATAATTCACTATTATATTTTTATTATAAAGTGTATTTTATTATGTTTGTGTATGGAATGTACGTTTCTTTAATATATATTCTGTATAATTGGGTAATAATATGGTAGTACTTTCCATTTGAAGCGACCTGCTTAAAACAGGTGGTAATGGTGGTGGGCTCTGGTGGGCTAACCATTTGAATATAAGGGGCTACTGCATTGTTGTCCGAACCCAATTCCTGCAAGTTTCGTGATAAGTCCTGCAATGTCTGTCTATTTGCCCGCATACAGCACACATGACAAACATAGTTGCTTCTTGAGGTCTGAAAATAAACCCCAGTTAGAATAAACACATGTTTTCAAGTTTTATGTTATTGTACAGTGAGAAGTATTATGTTACAACATGCCTATTTTAAAGAAGTCTATGCAAACATGGAAAATACATAAAGATAGATATTATAATCACACATACCTACTATGAGTACTTTTTTTATAGATTAAAATAGATAAATACAAGTACATATATAAAACAATGAACAAAAAACAAAATGCTTACCATATTAATAGTATTTTGTGATATTAGGCCAGCTAGCAATGGAGAGTCCATACTGACATTAGTGTGTCTTATTTTTCGAACCGATTTTCCACAACCAAGGCAAGCCATGTTATGCCCTAGTAGTCTCTCATGTTCACCAGCCTCAGTATTAAATAATAAAAGGGTGGTTGACAAATGAATGTCCCCAGAGGCAACTAAAAAAAAGATGCACTATTTAAAAATCGCATACCATGATAAAACATAAAAAAAACAGACTAAGTATTATACTATTCCGACATCATACCTGTGTTTGAGCTGGTTAAACAACGTGAAAGTTTTGTTTGATGATGTGCAGACAGCGAGGATATAAGACGTCTCTGCAGCCTTTGTACGCCTATTCCGCAGTTGATGCACCTCATCGTAATCCACAAAACAAATCCAAAACGCAAAACAGTTACTCCAGTATTATTAGCAAGGTTAACAAAAACACACTGTCAAAAGTGTCAAACACGTTCCGTTTCGTTTAAGTTTTTTTTTTTGGTGAATTGGATTAAAATAAAAAATTATATTATTATAATATGAGTATATTTAAAATGCAACTAAAACCAATGAATACAGTTTCGTATGAATAAAATGTTCCTAGTGTAATGCATTTGTCGATCATATCACACGTTTTCTACGAGTGTAGTTTAAGACACGTGGGTTGGAATTGGAACGTCTTTTTATTTATCTTTCTCTATGGACTATTATGGCGAAACTTGACAAACCATAAGTTGATTTTGTTGCATTACTTTTACATTTTTTTAATAATAATTGTCAGGTCTGGAGAGGCTAAAAACTACGTAATAATTCATATTTCTATTTGTATTTTACAGTGTATTAATTTTGTTCGTGTACGTGGAATGTACTTTTTTGGCCATGTCCTTTCTTTATTTATTTTTTGGTTTGTCAGCCTATTCATTTCGTTTCTGTCTGTCAGTAACTAAGGTATAACTTATAAAGTTTGTATTGCGTATCTAAAACAAAAAAACTCTTTTCTTAAAAAAATGTCTATGTGAAAATATTTGCGTACAATATTTTTCATTGTTTTATTGAACTTTAAAAACCTTTTATTGACTTTTGATTCATATTAATTGGCGCTGTTGACAAGTGCCGTGATTTAATTCAACAACTAATTTGATTGTTTATTGCTCAGAATGAACACCTCTTCATACTGTGAACTGGTATGAATTAATGTTTGGTTTCATTTATTAATTATTCTAATAAGTGTTTTGCTAAGTTTTCCTAAGGTTTCTTTTTCTTTGACATTAAAACTAGTGTGTTGTTAATTGTATCTAACTTCATTATGTTTGATCTGTTGACCGTAAAAATATAGCACATTTATATATAATCTACAATATACAAAACTTATACATACTTACGTAAAACAGCCTAGTATGCTTATCTTTGAAGCAATCTCATATTAATGGTACAAAAAAAACCAATAAGAAGCGCATCCATTAAAATGAAATTGTCTAAAACTTATCAATAAATGAACAAACTTACCAACTTACATTCGCCATGACCGTGCCCTTGTTTGTTATAACTGAATGCAAGATAATCATCTTAGATATAACAGTATCAAGATATAGATATCAATCTAGAATAACAAAATTTTGTCATTAACCTACATGCATTTTTGCACAATTACTAAACTGTTCAATAATATGTTTTACCCTTGTTTTTTTACCCTTCAATGAATTCATAAACTAAAACTAAGGCGATTATCATGCGCTACCACGTCCTAAAGCGACACAGGCGCCACTCAAATGCGCGGTCGGGCGGTGTTACGGATTTTTGTAGTACCGTCATTTGGTATGCTGCGGTTCGCGGTGCCGTGTGTTAATTGCGTAAAATATTAATTATTTTATAAACAAAATACTTTTTTTACAGGTTAAGAAAAAGCCGGTATCTTCAAGCCCCAACAAATCTAAGTCCGATAACATATCTGACTTGATGACTAGCTCTTTGCCTATAAACTTCGCAAATGCTCGCTCCGGCGCAGCTTCCTTCTTCAATTCGCTGTCTTCTGATTGGTTCAGCGGCTCCTAATGTTATTTAATCGATAAGTTTATTTATCTTTATTTTCATTAATGTTATTATAATAATAATAGATTTATTTACATGTGTATGTTAATAATTATTCAAACATTAAAATATTATGAGAGTAAATTATTGGAAGTAGTTTTTATTTTTTAATAATAGGTAGGTATTTATTGTATATTATTTTTTGTAAATACAGTTCAGTTACAGTTTCCTCATCATCTACCATTAGCAACATCTATTTTTCCGTCCTTCCCTCTTTCAATTAGATAAAATTGTCATTTATTTTTTTAAATAAGGCCGCCCTTACACATCATCGATTTTGAAATTTGAATATTAGAATACATTGTTCTGAATGTCTTTCCCATTGACAGTATAGGCTGTGTAGGTCGGTCATTTATTACCATGTGATTAATGTAGATTTGTATGATGAAGAGATCTTATGATACAGGCCTTCAATATTAAGAATATAATTTTAAGGATAATTATGCGGAAGATGAATGTCGTGTGAGGGTCTTTGTTTTTGTGAGTAAGTTCAACGTCTACACTATAACATGACTTCGACATCGAATCCCCGAAGGTGAAGGCAGAGGGGCACGTATACCAGTAGGTACATTGGAACACGATCAAATGTCGTTATTTTATATTGTTATACACCCCAACCATACATAGGCTAGTCGGTAAGAATGATACGATAAATGTGATAAAAGATATTTAAAAATTAAAAAAGGAGGGTGGTCTTGGTGGCCTTTGCAAGATATTGCGAATTCAAGACTTGTGATTTTACGAGTTATGTATATACCTACTTTGCAAGTATATTCAGACACTACACACATATACAGCGAAGCAAAAATCGTGAGGAAATGTGGAGTGTGGTATAAGTTTGAAATCGCCAATCCACTTTGAGCAAGCATGGTAATGTGAAACCCTTTCTTCAGTAGTAGGCACTAGGCTGAGGCTAAAGAGAATTAATACATGTTACTTATTGATATTTATAATACTTATCAATAGGCATAAGTAACACGTAGTCTCAGCATTTTTATTTGTCCCTGAATTTATCATTGTTATGCAAACGGTTGTGGTAGGACCAGCGATGCGGATCGCCGAACTGGTTATTGTGATAATGCAACGAATAATGTATGCCAGATTGACATCAGAGAAAAGGAGGTGCGGAATAACAAAAAGGTAATTTAAATTGTTTTTGAAAAAGTTCCCATCGTTCGTTGTATGGGTTTTATACCTGGTGGACACTTTGTTTTTTTTTGTGGTAAATGTCATAAAAAAACTTGCGGATTGACTGACTGAAAAGTAATGGTAACTGATGGCCCAAGCTCGATGAAAGGTTCGAGTGCTTTTTTACTCAAACTTACTAAGTACAACCTGTTTAATTTTTTATATTCGTAACATAGAGAGCGATTTTTCGGAAGCATATATATTTTATTTCATTACTAATTCGATATATTGTCTAATTAACGACCAATAAACTGCCCTGCCGGAGAATAAACGGCATTTGGCATTTCCTGACTAGCTTATAATTTATCGCTCAATTTTCTTTGTTTACTTGTCATAATAAACTTGCTTCCGAGACGTTTGAGTAGATACATTTTCCTCATAAAGAAATAGGTAAGCAATAGATGTAATTAACTGGTAGGTACAGGGTTGGGAAACTAAAAATCAAAAATAACTATAAATAATAATTTTAATAATAAAGAGTCAGTGCAACACAATAAAATAATCAGATCTTAATCTAAACAAAGTTATATTACAAATTATTAATAAATTACGACTTCTCATCACTCTCTTTAATTTCTCCTACTTTTCTTCCTAGATATCTGAAGTTGTCGCTGTAACCATCTCCGTATCCTCCGAAGTAGTTGCCAGCAGGTCCACCTGAGTATGGCCGGTCTAAGCCAGGCCTGTACTGGTTACTGTAACCGGGTCGGTAACTACCAGGGTATCCTAAGTTGGTACCGGAATATCCCGGGTAGCCAGGCCGGTTGTAGTCAAACCCGGGCCTATTTGGACGGAAACCTGATGAAAGAAAATATCGGTTATAATGATTTTTGATGAGACATAGGTCGGTAACCCAACCAATCGGCGCTGCCCAGGAGCACACGCAAAACCAAAGGTGTTACGAGGGCATCGACGGCTTTTTGGTAAATTTCGGATTAGTTGAGGATTAGGCCTCCGGTAAGCTCACTCACATGGCGAAACACAACGCTGTGGTTGTTTCACGCCGGTTTTTTGTAAGGTCGTGGTATCATTCCGGTCGAGCCGTTCCGTTTATTCAGCACAAATTGCCCCCCAATCCCACAGTTTATGCATGATAAATGTCGGTACCTAACTTTTTATTTGGTTTCAAACTAATTTGACAATTAATAGATACATATAGTTGTTATATAGAGATGGTAGTAACTACATACGTGTCATTGTTCAAAACTAAATATCTATCTACCTGCCTAGTTGTTGAAGGTAATTTAATTATGTAATAGGTCTAACTAAAACCGTTTTAGTAAAGCCATTCGACCCTTACCTACTTGTGTTAAAAAGCAGTGTATTTCGTCTCAAATGATTAGTATTCCATGTAGCTAGTCAAAGGTATCTTGCTTCAAAAGCCATTGAAATCTGATCCCTCTTGAAAGGGGAGGGTATTCAAAGACTAGTGCAATATAAACTGGACAGTATATTAATGGCATCCATTGTCTTTTATAAGTTATTTGTGTAAAATAAAGTACCTACCTAGATGGTTCAAACAAATCGAAATCAGATGTTTTAAGCAGTGTAGAATTATTTGTTTGTTTATTTAGTATTTTCTTGTAAAGTTTAAATTAGATATAGGTAACATATCATACTGACTTGTATTTGTTATATTTATGTAAATATATATTAGTATGACTAGGTAAAAAGGATATATAAAATTGACTTTTTTACTATGACGATGGATCTCAAAGCCGTTAAGATTTGGCGTGTAAATAATTTGCTTTATACGATAAAAAAAATAATGATGTACCTAAGTAGTTTGTATCGCGTACCGTGTAATGTATAAAGAGCGACGGACGATCTTCGTGGTCAGTGACTTCATAAATACGTGATTGTTTTTCACTAGCATGATTCATTATAATTTTTAATATACATAACTACGAGTCGTAGACATGCTGTCTTTCGACGACAGAATTATTTAAAAGAGATCGTATTTGTGGTTCATTGCATTTTAAAGTGCTAGTATTTTCTATTCCTAGCAGTGTTTCTAATTTTAATCAGTGTTATCTATCACTGTAAGAATAAATAAAAGATTATTTTGTCTTGCCATTTCGGGAAATATGATCTTTGTAAATGCGACTAGTTACGTATCTTGACCCTTATGTACACAACTTGTACCTAGATATCTAAATAGATACCTAAGTGTAGATATAGATATGTGTGCACTATCCATTATATTCAGTTAACCGTGCTTACCATTCCCGCCGTATCCCGGATATCCTTGGTTATAGCCTCCGTAGCCGCCATAGCCGCTTGGATAGCCACTACCGTAACCGCCCCCGCCGGCTACAAACACAAATTATAATATGTAATCAATTGTTAGTGATTATCCAATTAATACGAAGTATTTGCTCAGATACTATAATCGGATGAATTAGATATTTAGAGCTTATCTCATAATAGCAATTAATGTTAATTGATGGTTTTCTAATGGTATTTAAGTATTGAGAGAAATATTGTACATGTTTTGTAATGGCTAATCTATGAATAATTAGCTGAATAATTCAGGTACCAACCTCCAAACCCACCAGGGTAGCCACTTTGTCCCGGATATGACCCAAAACCGGGTCCACCGAAGCCTTGATTGCCACCGTATCCCTGCCCAAAGCCTCCTCCGTAGCCGTTGTAGTTGTTGTAATTGTTATAGCCTCCAAAACCCTGGTTATAGCCAGGTCTCAGAAGGCCATAGCCTCCGGTACTCCGTCTCTGTCCGTCTATGATGTCATTGCTCGTGTCTCCCACTTTTTGAGCGATGGTCACGGCCAGAGAACATGACAGCAAAATAATATTCTAAAAAAAAATGGTTTAATTAACCATCGCTGCGTTTAATCACCTTGGTTTTATCAGTGTTATTTACATTTAACGATGGTAAAAAAGGTGTGGGTGTATCTATTATACTATACTATTTATAGAATATTTTATTAATATCAAGGAAAACAGAATGAGTCCATGATTAACACACACAAGTGCCCTTTTCCGTACCTATAAGTGTGTGTTACTTTATATTTTTAAAGGTAAAAATCAATTTTATATTTGTAGGTAAGTATAATCTGGACCGTGATATCTGATTGCAAAATTTCTTTTGTGAAATAAAAACTACGCAAAATAATTAGCTTGATTTAATAATATTTACATCATCTATAATGTGAAACCATTGCTTCACAGTTAATTCATTCGTATCTGAGAACAAAGGCACATTGCTCAATGTAGGTACCTACCAACCAATTTAAACTAAACTTAACAATGCATGTCCTCACACTACTCTTCCTTAAGTTCGGCTTCAACCGAGGCTAAGTTGCTGTGCATAAATGCTCTTTGTTTCCTTTCTAAGGATAATTTTATGACTAGGAATCATCTCTGATTTAACCATGACACTGACAGTGCCACTGGTCTATAAAATGTTCTTGAAAAGACGCAATCGTTGAAAAAGTACCTAACACTACGCTAACTACGCACGAATAAAAAGTGTGGGAGAGCCATGCTTCGGCAAAAATGAGTCTGCTCAACCGGTACTACCACGACCTCACAGAAAATCAGCATGAAACAATCACAATGTTGTCTTTTGCCGTGCGAGTGAGGCTACTGATGACGCAAAACCTCCTAATCTCTAATCCCCAATAAGTCGGCAACTCCTCCGTTGTTGTGGGTGTTCATGGGCGGCGCTGATTTCTTACCATCAAGTGACCCGTCTTTTCGTTAGCTGCCCTATTTCATAAAAAACTATTTAGGTGCCGAACAGTGTTTAAGTGGTGTATGTACATATATAAGACAATACACGTTGTGTTTGTTTGTTTTTAAAGTTGTAATTTGTTATCACTTCGATTGTACCTAAATGTAGTAGGTACTTAGTACTTACTTACTTTTCCCCTGGCGA